AATATATATATATATAGAACTTATCCACGCTCTACAGTATAGCATGCTCTATGCTCCTTTCAACTGTTGTATCAGAGAGGTTCGGTCATGCGCCTGAATACATGTAGTAAAGTGTGTTACTGTTGGTATCGTCATGTTGTTCCTTTGGAGGGTCTCTTTGTCTCCATCCATCCGTCTTTTTCTTAGCCTTCCCTTTGCCTTAAAACCACCAAAGCACTTAGAGATTGGCAGCTGTTGTGGCCCCATTCTCATACCACTCATAACGTGTCCTCCAAACCACATCATTTGTTGTTTCTCGACGTACTTCCCCGCTCGACTCAACGCCAACTCCGGTGTCTTCGTTTCTGTGTCTGTGTCTTCTCGGGATGTTTAGCGTTTTTCTAAGACGTTTCATTGCGCATGCTTTTATTTTACTTTACTGCTCTGTGTTGATTGATGGTCAAATTTTAGGCACTGGTAGCACCTACTACAGAGTTGGTATGAAAGTTTAACTGATGAGTTATTTGTTTGTCTTCACTGGGATGTTTTGAATAAAGGAGAGAATGGATGCTTGTTGGTTTGTGACTACATTTGCTTAGTGCACTCGTGTACAAAATACAAATGCGGTCAAATTCCAACTGAGAAAACGACCGATGAAAATCAAGACATCGGAGGCATCCTTTCGAAACTGAGATTTAGTATGGTTTTTTTGTTGTGTGTGTTTTTTTTTTCACTGTAGCTGTGAGATTGATAGAGCGGTTGCTGAACACTCCGCCGATGAGAAACATCGGAGCGAAGCTTCTCCGTTATCCTTTATACCCGATGTGCACAGAGTTCGAGTTCGGATCCGACCAATACTGGCGGTGCTACATCAGACATGTGACTGCGACAACACACCACGCCAGTGGCACTTGTAGAATGGGGGCGCCTGATGACGTCACCGCTGTCCTTGACCCTCAGCTCAGGTTGGGTTTCTTCCGCTTCTGTGAATTGTTTGTTTACTTTTTGTTTCCGAATGCGTCTAGATCTATGTGTGTGTCTGCATAAATTATATGTGTTGACATAATATGCTTGACTACTTGTTTATGTGTGTATATATATAT